ACCATGGTTCTGTATCAGACCAGTTCAGTGTGGAGTTTGAAGTTGAGTCTATTTATTCAGAAGATTACAGCCATAATGAAGAAGGGCAGGAGCTCACTGATGAAGATGATGAGGTACTATTTGCTTTCCTTGTTTGACCCTGGGGGGAGGGGATGAGAAGAAAAAGGAATTTCAACATGAAAAATTCCTGCAAGTTTCCAAGGAGAGCTCTTAGATATATTTGCAGACTGCATGTGATGGTGTCACAATCTGCAGCCAGTTGTTCATTAAGTTAAAATACATGTTGGTGCAATTGGGTCATGTTTATACAACATACCAGCTAGCTACTGAAATGGTGCTGAGGCTTTCTGCAGGCTCTGAAAAGGGCTGGATAGGAAAGTCTGGGTGCTTAACTGCCCTCACCAGCTGTTGAAGTCAGTGGCAGCATGTGTACTATAGCCTTTCTGCATTTTTAATTCTAGAAGTACATGTTGAGTTTTGACAACCCTTGACACCAAAGGGAACCTTTCTAAGTAACTCTTTCCAAAGGGATGTCCAAGTTTTTTGCCTCTGTGAATGTAAATGTTTCATAGAGATGTTGAAACAAAGTTTTAGGAATCTTTATTAGTAGGCAGGAAGACAGAAAAATTGTGATTACTGCAATTTTCAAGAGATTTGTAGAATGACAGGAATGAAGTGAGAATGTATGTAGGATTTTCTTCCTGGGTTAGTTTTCTGTTACTTTAGAGAGGTTAATCAGCTCATGGCAAGATCAGGTGAGTACCAGAGGCAGAATTCACCAGGGACATACATGATTGTGGTAGCTGAGAGGCTGAATGGGACTGATGTGCACCAAACTGTAGTGTAGAGCAGAGCTGCAACCTGAGAGAGGATGGTAACTTGGAGCAGGAAAGCCCCTGCTCCAGACAGTAGTTTTGGGAATTGCAGGATGGCTGGTGTTCCAAGGGGCCTCTGGAGGTTGTCTTACCCACCTGCCCTGGCTCAGGCAGAGCTCATGCCCAGGTCCATGTCCAGGTGTCTTGAATATCTCCAGGGATGGAGGCTTCATAGGTGCTCAGGGCAGGCCAGGCCAGTGCTCCTTCATCCTCCCAGTGAAAGGTGTCCCGTGACTCAGGGGGAACCTCCTGTGTTTAACTTGTGCTAGTGACCATTGTCCTGCCACTGGACACCACTGAAAACAGTGTTGCTCTGTGTTCTTGATGCCATCCTTTACCTCCTGCCCTGAGCCTTCTCCAGGTTGAACATTCCCAGCTCTGTCAGCTTTCCTCACATGAGAGCTCCTCTAATCCATTAATAATCTTCATAGTCCATCCTTGGAGACTCTCCAGTAGCTTGCTATCTGAAAATCTTAGCAGGTTAAAAATATTTGCACTTTTAATTAAATGCCAAAAGCCAGTTCTATATACATTTTTTTTTTTTAATTTAAACCAGGTTTATCAGCTGACTATTTACCAGGATGAAGATAGTGATGCTGATTCATTTGATGAAGATCCAGAGATTTCTCTAGCTGTGAGTAAACACTTGTCTGGTGAAGCATCGTAAATTGGGTAAACTGACATAGAATAGATGAAGAAGTATAGATGAGTTCTATTGCTACCAGTGATTTTTTAAGAATTAAATTGACTTTGTCTGTGTGAAGGTTGCAATACAATATTTTAATTACTGTGCTTATTAAGGAACATGTGATTATTAAGGAATCTTGGGGGTTTTTTTAAATGGGTAATAAACTTCCTAATCCGTTAAAAAAACCCTAATCCCACACTAATTTACCATTTCATTGACTTAATGGAAGAAAATTATTTGGAGCCTAAATCTGACTTTCTGAACAAAATGGAAAAAAATTAAAATCTTAGTCATGTACATTTAAAAAACTCTTTATAGAAGTCAGAATATCTAGTTTTACTGTCCAGCTTGAATGAACGTGTCTGTAACAGAGATGTGAAGGCAAGCCTTTTTTCAGACCAGTACTGTAAAAGAGGCCTTTACTACATTCTGTGAGACCCTTCTTGAGGTGTGGGAAGAAATTGACAGTCTTGAGGCAAAGTATGGAGATGTTTGTGAAAAAAACCCTGCATTTTAATTCTAGTGTGTCCTATCACCTTATTTATATTTTTCACATTTGATACTTGAATTAAAGCTGTTTTGTGGAACTCTGAAGTGTTCCAGTGCCATGATAGTCTGTAGGACTGAGGGACTTGGTGTGTTAAAGACAGGGCTGGCCACCTTCTGAAAAGATAGTGGTGCTTATGTGTAGGAAAAGAGACCTGTACATTACTTTGAGGATTTAAAATTTGTTTTATAAGCTTTTGATGTTACTGATTTTTTTTTTTCAGGACTTGCCTAAGTAAGTTTTGGGTTGGGTTTTTTTTGTTTTGATTTTCTATGCAGCTTGCATTGTTTCTAAGAAGGGTCTCTGTACTTCAAAGCAAAATGTATTTTTAACGAAACAGTGGTTTCTTTTCATTGTAGTCCATGGAGTAACCTGTGAGTGGCTGATGCGCCACTTTGGTTTTGCCCTTTTATTTTTTCCCTTTCTCCCTTCCCGTCCGTGTTTGGCTTGGCCGCCGTTTCTGTGCTGCCGCTGTGTCGGAGCGCCCTCTCCCGGCCGCGGTGTGCACCAGCAGCGCAGCCCGCCGCCGGGAAAGGGTCCCGTCCCTCCGCCTGGAATAGCTCCCGTAGAAGGAGTCCAGAGACGAAAAAAAGGGAAATTATGACCTTTTCAACGAGTTTTTCATGAGGGCCTGTGAAGAATTTTGTGGTCTGGTTTCTGCAGTTTTGCGTAGGAAATAATGAATTGTTCTATTCATAAACCTATTGCAAAATGAAGGAAAGCCAGAGTCCTTTTAAAATAAGAACCATTTTAATATAGAATTGTAAAATGGGGCCAAAACCACTGAATGGAATTTTAAAATTGTAAACAAGTTGATGCCTCAACATAATAATTATTTTGGCAGTAATAAATTGTTTATAATGTCTGAATACTTCAGTTGTAAGTGTTCCAAGTAGCTTAAGTTGTTCCAACCTTTGATTCACTAAAGGATTATTGGAAGTGTCCCGAATGCAATGAAATGAATCCTCCGCTTCCACGGCATTGCCACAGATGCTGGGCCCTTCGTGAGGATTGGCTTCCAGATCAAAAGAGTGAGAAACTGGAAAAGAGCAAATTAGAAACCTCCTTTCCTGCAGAGTCCGGAGAAGGTTTTGATGTTCCTGATTGCAAGAAAACAAAAATGACTGAAGACAAAGAACCAGCTGTGGATGAGAATGAGGATAAATCAGTACAGCTTTCTGAGTCCCAGGAAAGTGAAGGCTATTCCCAGCCATCAACATCAAGCAGCATGTTCTGTAGCAGTCAGGAGGACTTCAAGGAACCTGAGAAGAGAGAAATGCAAGACAAAGAGGAAAGCATGGAGTCCAGTCTGCCTGTTACCAGCATAGAGCCGTGTGTCATATGTCAGAGCAGACCTAAAAATGGCTGCATAGTGCATGGCAAAACGGGACACCTGATGTCATGTTTTACCTGTGCAAAAAAGCTCAAGAAGAGGAACAAACCCTGCCCAGTGTGCAGACAGCCCATACAAATGATTGTGCTAACTTATTTTAGTTAGACATGTGTTGACTGGAAAGCAGCCAAAGAAACTTCAGAAACTGGTTAAGAGAGTAAGAAATTATTTTTGTATGCTTATTGGAAAGTTAATATTTTGTGTCTCTTCGCGTTCTGTGAAAAATAATTGCTGACATAACTGCACTGGAGTTATTAAGAGGTTTGCCTAATGCTCAGAAGTCAACTTGGAGATTTTAAATCCCTCTCAGTAAAAGTAACCAGGTCCTCTAAACCACCTCCTCTCCAAGTGTTTTAATGTTCCATGCAAGTTAGTGACATTTGTTTTATTGAATTAAATATGTGCATTAAAACCCCAAATTCAATAATTGTTGGAGGAGAGACATGTTGAAGTGTGTATTTCTGCAAATTCCTCATTTAAGAAAATATATGATTATCCAGGTTCCAGTTTTTGTTGCTTGGTGAAAACATAAGGCTCAGTCAGACTCCTCTGCTTATGTGCAGCATGAAACAAGTCTCAACAGACAAGATAAATGAAGGATATGCTATGAGCTCTCATGTCAGGTAGTAGTAGGGGACAGTTGTTTTCTTTTTCTGCACTTGTTTCTGACTTAGCAGAATACATTCAGCTGCATTGCTGCATTCACTGTAATAAAAGTAGAAAAGAAATTCCCCTTCACCTGTAGAAACACTTAAGCTTGCAGTTCCAGTTCACCTTCTTTAAGTGCAGTAGTCTTTCCAACTCACTGTTCTTATCTGTATCACAAGAATTCTGAAAATCTTTTGCAAGGTGCTTGGCCAATTCAAAGTTGGTCTTTTTAGACCTGTCCTTTACTGCTTTTAGCTCTTGTCTCCTCACTGTACTTTGTCAAAAACTTGGTGAAACTTACCAGTTCTGTGCCCAGGGAGTCTGCTGCCTGCCTCAGTTCTGGGGGCCTTAAGGCAAGGTAGAGTGTGGGAGCCAGGATGCAGTAAAATTCACTCAACTGCCTTTCACATGGAGTTTCTGTACCCTGCGAGTGATACTTACTCCTTTGGAAAACTATGTTACAAGAACACTTGTATATTTTTGGTACCTTTTATTTTTACATGTGGCTGCTGATTGTGTGACCAGTAGGGAATGGCAGATAAACAGGGGAGTGCCAAGAGTGGAGATGTAGTCCAAGTGCAGGAATTGGGCAGTGTTACCATCTTACAGGCTAAGGCTCAACTGCTTCCCCAACACCAGCAGTATAAAATTGCTGATGCCTGTGAGCCGGCACAGAGACTCCTCCTGCTCTCCTTAACTGCAGGGCTGCAAATGCCTGAAAGTACTCAGGAAAAGGACATAAGGAGATACAGGAAAGACTTAGTAAATCTTTGATTGTGATTTGGTTGAAAAGTAGTAACTTTATAGGTAAAGACTGAATTATTGAGATCATTCACATTTTGTTCATACTTTTTTTTTTTTTTTAGTTATTTTGTTGCTAGTGAAAGAAAGTGGTGCATCCAAGTTCTAACACAGTTCATTTTAAGTATACAAAATATAAACTCCAGTTGTATTCATTCACGTTCTTACTTGCAAGTTTCTTGCCTCCTGCAATTTGGACAGGGACATCAGGTAGCTTGAAGTTTTGGAAGTTTTTTGATCAGCAGAAACCTTTCATGGTTTTTATAGGATTTGATAATCCTTGAGCCTCAGATAGCTAGTTTTTGGGCAGATAGCTAGTTTTTTCAAAGAGAGATGCTATTACAGAGCTACTTGCCTTACTTTGCACTTCCTATTAATGGGTTTTTTTAAAATTTTTGATTTGATAAACTTAGGTGCTGTGAGGCTTGCCGAGGCTCTTCATTGCACCTGCAGGTGAGAGATAATTATAGATGTGTATATGCAGAAGCATCAACAACATGGGAATTGTACCTAAAAAGTTTCATCTTGTTCTTATGAAGCTTTGTCCGCTGCATTGTCTCCCGTGTCTCCCCCTGTCTCAGCACGATGCCTTCTCTGCAGGGGCTGCCCTGGCTGTGTAACTGCATGCTGGGGGAGCAGCTGTCCTTGTCTTCTTCCTGTTGGGACAAATTGTGCCGTCCCTCTCAGCAATCCTTTCCAGTCACATGCCTTCTGTTGCAGAGAATAGCCCTGGAAATACCTTCCACTCGCTCCAGTGGGGAGGAAATGGGCCATTTTCATTTCTGCATCTGCAAATCACTGTATCGAGTATTTTGGTTTGAGTTACATTCTATGGCCTAATATTATTCTTAATGACTTCTAGTGCAACTTTGAATTGTTTGGTGTGGGTGCATGCCTTCCAAGTGGAAGTGATGGGAATTGATGCCTGTTCCTGCAGGGGACACTGGCAGGCCAGTGCAGTGCAGGGCTGGTGCCCGGGGCTGTGGCACAGTGGCTCCTATGGGGACTCCTTGGGCTCTGCCTCCACCCTGTCTCCTGTGTGGGCACGAGCAGTGAGCACCCTGCTGGTTCTGGCCCTTAAACACTGGTACAAAACGTCAGAGATCCTCATATAATATCCTACAGATTTTAATCAATAATTTATTGCTGTTTGTAAATATACTTGTGCTCACAGTTGATGTTTTGAGCTCTAATTTATTGAATTAGTCTACTGCTACATGTGTAGTTATATAAATATGCTTATTTAGTAAATCACAGGCACAAGAGGACTATTTTAAGAAATGTAGCATTAAAATTCAGAGAAATACTCGTATTATATTGAGAAGGGAGATTTATGTCTATGGGGTTTTTTTCCTTCCCTTAAAACAACTTCTGCATTGAACCTGAACAAGGTTTATTGAATAGAGAAGGTGCTGGTCCAACCTCAGCTTAGTGAAAATATTTTGGTGGTGTTTTGCTTTCCTTTGGAATGCTTTTGCATCCCTCAGTACAGGCAAGGAGCTGACTGACTGCTTCTGGGTGCTGGTAACGTTGGGGTGATGGTCCAGGAGATACAGGATGGTGATGAGCGGCTTTCAGGTTAATTTGCAAAGGGGCAAATGGCTTTTGCCTTTGGACACGACCATGAACGTTGCAGGATGCAACCTATTTTTTTTTAGAAAGTACAATAAACCTACTTTTTGCTTAAATACAAGTCTTTAACTATTTACCTATTTGTTAGTATTGCCATTATGTTAGTATTGCAATCCACCTCACACCAGCAGGATCGTGGGCTGTGCCGTCCTGTGCCTCTCCCCTTAGAAGATGATTTAGAAAAGGTAAAGGTGCTTCAAAATGCTCACTGATGAAAAGCTTACATTCCTTTTAAGAGTGTGGTACGATTTTATCAGAGTTCTGTTTGCTGTACATTTGTTCAAATGTTGCTGTCTCTGAGGCATCTGTGGGTATGAAGATTTTTTTCAGATTTTTTTCTCTTATGACTAATATGAGGAAGAGAAAAATTCCTCGTTCTTACAGAGAGTGTCAACAAGAAGAATTGTTTCAGAAAAATGTATCTTAGAAAAGAGAGATTAGAAAATTATTAAGACCCTAATGAAACTGAATAAATAGGATGGAAATAGGGGTGAAGATTTTTTTCTTCTCCATCTTAATCTAAGGCTGCTGTTGTGTTGGGGTGTAACATTAGGTAGAGTTTATAATTTTAAAGCAGGTAATTTATTCAGCACATTAACTTAGCACACACATGGTGGGGCAGGAGTTATCCCTTATCCCAGGAAGGTGCAGCATTTTGTTGTGCAGCATTTGGCCTGAAAAGGGGCATTTGCTGTTGTGAGGTTTTCCTGTGGGGAGGATTATATTGGGCAGTTGAGGGGACTTGAGGAGAGGCAGTGTTGTCATGGAGGGGCTGTAGGGCAGCCTTGGTCCTCGCTGGAGCATCAGCCCTCTCCTTTCCAGGGGATTCCTTGCCCTGCCCTGCCTTTCCAGCTCCTCCACACCGGAGTCCAAGGCACAGCTTGTGCTTTAAACGTTGCACAAGCAAAGCACAAAACCCAGCTTGAGGTTTTAATAGTGGATTGCACTTATGGAACATGAAAAATTGTTGCTTTTAACTACAGTGTGGGGGTTTATTTAGGTTTTTTTTTTTTTTTTTTTAGCATAGATGCACTGAAAGCTTCAAGTGAATGGTTCTTTGGTGTATCTAGACCTATATTATACATGTGAAATTTGTCAGTGATACTTAAAAAGGTGGTGGCTCCCCTTTTGAGTAGATATTTTCAGCTTAACAGCCTACTTTTAAGGGATGGTTCTTGGTCTTGAGCCACAGTAGTGGCTGTCAGGATGATGACTAATTTATACCTAAAATACCAATAGCTTTTCTAAAACCAGAGTCTTTGTTGTCTGACTACACATAGCTGGGATGACTGTTGAATAGAGTAGCTCATAGAGAATTTAAATAACTATGCAACATGCTTTCAAGAGCTTGACCTGGTGCATTACTTTTCAGCTACCCAGTGCTTGTATGACCACAGTCAGTAATCATTAAAATGCAAGTATCCACTCCAATTGCACACCGTATAGACCCATTTATGAGGAGTTCCACGTGTCTTGCATTTATCTTTCAGTTTTCAGTTTTTCCTTTTCTGATGAAAATTGAGTACTGTGTTCCATTTAAAAGCTTTAAATAAAGATTTGTTTATATACTCCATGGTGCTCTTTTTTTTTTCCATGTCAATTACTTGATTGTTAGAAGTTCTGGCACTTTGTTTTCACACAGATTCTTACTTTTGTGAACCAGCACACAGGCTTTTTCTGCCCCCACTCAGCTGCTGGACTGCTGACTTCTGTCAGATTTCTTTGGTTTGGGAGATTTTAACTCTAGGAATCTCTCGTTCTTCCTGCTACAAGTGGCAGGAGCAGTGATGGGATTTAGTGGATAATTACTTCTCTGTGTGGTAAACAACCCACAGTGGATCAGAGGGTGAGGAAAGGTAGAAAATGCAAATGGATATGAGGGAAATACTCAAACACCAGTCTCTTGCACAGAGCCCTCATTGCTATTGGTATTGCTGTTTCAAGTTCTGAGGTGGATTTGCACACTGCATGTGGCTGTCTGGCAGACAAGTGGCTGATGCCCAAGTGCCACAGCCCAGCTGGAAGGGCTTGGTGTGACAGGCAGCAATGCCTCAGGAGAGATTTTAAAAGGCATTAAAGGATTAACTGAATTCCTGCATTTTTTATTTACTGTATACAGGAAAAGATTGATGTTTCCAAAGATAATCTTTGCTGGTTTACTTTTGAAATTGCTCAAGAAAATTACTGGCAGATAAAGCTTTAAAATAAACTCAGGAGATGGTACTAACTGGCTTTTCTTGAAAAATTTTCTGTTAATTGGGCAGCTTCAAAGGGCTCTGAAAATGACTCACAACTGGCCAGGCGAAAGGAACCTGCTAATCCTGCCTGCAGTACAGCCTAGCCAGGGGGGCAGTGAAAGCACCCTCTGTGACTGGAGCTGGCTGGTGCCTTGCTGATGTGACTGCCAGCTCCTGGCAAGGCTGTTAAGCAGTCCCAGCAGTGCAAGCAGCAGGGCTGTGAGGCTGTTGAAACAGTATAAAGCCATTGCTGGAACTATTCAAAGAATTCTGAATTGTATGTGGTTCTGTGCCACAACAAATTCAGTTAAAAATGGACACAGTATAAAGCTGTCAGTGACTCTTTCCACATTGCTTTCAGCAGCTCTGCCATAGGAGAACGTGGTTTTCAGAGCCACAAATTCCTCCCTTTTCCCTGTTGGTGTGGATTATCAGCCAGCTTCCACATCACAGCCCTTTGGTAGATACTCACATTTCATTTTCATCTTCTTGTCTTAAACACGTCTGTGTCACTGGCCTTTACCTCATTTGAGCCCTGAGCCATCTCATCTGTCCAGGTAAGAAAGAGCATATATAGAAATGCCATTCTTCATTTATAGCAGTGGCTTTATTATGAGAAATTAGTATTGAGCTGATGACTTACAGTTGTGTGGCACCTGAGCTTGCATGAAACATTGCAGTACAATTCTCAGTGTTTTGGAATTTAGGAAAAATCTTCAAAATGTATTTGTATTTTCTGCATCAAAATTCTACAGTTATCAGCATAGAGTGTAGGAAATTTCTTCAGAGTAAAATATTTACATAGAAAAATATGATAGTCTGTTACAATTAAAAATATGTCTACTATAAGTAAAGTAAAACATTCAATTGTCAAACCAGTATTTTACAAAATACAGTAAACATGATTGTGAATCTGAGAATCTGGTTTATAAAAACATACTTTCTTTTGCATATACAATTCCTTCTCTCAAAAGCCACATTTGTGCAGGAAGATTTTGCCTTTGCCTTTGTCATTCCTGACTTTATTTGAAAATTGCAAGCACAACGGTCATTAAAACCAAGAGATGTACGGTTGGTTTTACTGCAGCTGAAGCCCGTGAGAGCTCTTGGTAGAGGGGAGTTTTGGGACATGAAGTAACTTTCGAGCTGATCTTATCTGAGACCTCTGGAAAAGAGAAATCCTGTTTCACAGCACTGAAGTTTCCAGTGTTGTCAGGTATTTCCACTGTCTTCAGCATGGATTTATATCCTGGTACAGTAGCCTAGGAGCAAACACAAGAGTTCTTGGTTTGAAACATTGAATTCAAGTGTGAAACAATTAATATTTACACTTTAAGTGTACAGGGCAAAATATTCTAAAGATACATTGAGAATGTGGACTGGGAAAAGTGAAGTTTTCATGTTACAGCAGTAAGACGATTGCTGTATAAGAGCCAGAATCCTGCAGTGATGCTTAAGCATAAGCCTTTGGCAGCAGGCAGAGCCTACAGGGCATGGATGCTTGGACTTCCACAGGGAAACCATTTTGGCACAAGGAAGTGACAGTCACCCACAGTGGTGTCAGCCCCTGCTGCAGATCCCAGGCTCCACCCTTTCACCCTGCAAGAGCTCCTGGTTTGTTTCAAACACCTCAAGCTCCTGTTGCCATGTTTCAGACCCATCCTAGCTGGCTCCACCACCAAGGTCCAAGGAGTGCTTAGCTCTGGACACTGAGGACTGTATCAAACAATTCCCTTTCTGCTGACTAATATTTAAATACATTTTTTTTAAAGTCTGCTAAAGAGTCTTTACACCTCCTGTCTATGACTTGAGCAGCTCAACTCACCCACCTCTAAGGCTGCAGTCTCACTGTGCTCAGGACCTCAATGCAACTGGAAACAATTCTTCAGTAAGGCTGCATACTCACATTGATCACATATGTCCCAGGCAAAAGGAGAAGGAAGTACTCCCCGTGTTGATTTGTTCTGTAGGGGCAGACATGTGGCCTTCCTTTGGCTTCCACGATGGCGTTGGGAATAGGATTCCCATTCTTATCAGTAACTTGGCCTTTGACACCTATGAAAAAGGGAGAGGAGAGAAAGATCATGAAGTGTAACTGGTGAGCCTCCTTCTCTGAGAAAGGCAGACTGTTCTGTTGCTGGATGCCCCCAAAGGCTATTTCACTTTTCAGCACATCTAGTATTAGCACTAGTCACTTTGGCCTTGCTCAAGGGAATTAAACCAGAAAATCCTTGGCTGTTGTTGTTAATAGTTTACTCCCATGTTAAGTTAGAAAGCAGCATTGTAATCTCCTAAATATTCCTAATCTCATTTGCTGAAAGTATCATACACACTGTGTGTCCTTTACTGAAGGGCTTCAATCTTCGCTACAGGTTTGGCAATTTTTGCACACACACACACCCACACACCCATCCCCCCCTTCTTTTCTGTGATTTAAAATAAGTCAGCCTCTTGTCTAGTATTTCCCAAAGGCAGAATACCAACAATGTCTGCTTATGAAGTAGTTTCCCTTAATTCCCACACACCATCTTCAAGGCAACACAGGCAGAGATGAAACAGCAGTCAGATATTTAGGGTAACAAAATGCAAGAGAAGCAACAGGTTTGTGCAAACCCTGCAACTCATTGTAAAGCACCACAGCTTCACTAAGCAGTTCTCTTCCAAACATGAAGTTGGATCACACCTAGAGAAGCCTTTCAAGTTTACAAAATCCAAGCAGCAAAGACCCACGGCACGAGTGCTGAGGCACACATACACTTAGAGACCTCTGAAATTATTATTATGCCAAGGCTGCTCAGGAATAGAGGGGAGGAGGGGAGTGCATGGTCAGACAGCCCCCAGGGCAGCCCCCTGCTCCTGACCCAGCGCATTTTAACCCCTTGCACACTGTAGTAGCCCCTTGCCTGACACGCTTGTAAGTTCTCCTGCCTCACCCACCCCTGGCTTTGTAGCACTTCCTGTTCAGAAGCTCCCAAGTTACCACCAGATCTGTCCCCTGTGAGCTGTGACACTGCCCCAGCTGCTGAGGAACTCCCTCTAAGCTGGCCCCAGTTTTCTCTCTGCCCCCACTCCCATACCCACCTAGGTGTACTTGTTTGATATATTCGATCAGAGCAACTTTGTTGTCTCTCCAGAACTTTCCCAGCTGGTCTTCTGGAGGATATTTACAGCATGACAGCTCCAGTGTAATTTCAAAACACTGTCCCCAGACATAGTTGTAATCTTGCATTCCACCTTAAAAGTGAAATAAAAGTCTTTTCAGCTGCAAAGAAACACTAAGGTCAAATTAAAAGACAAATAGAAGAGTTAAAATGTTGGTACTTGCATCATACCTGTAAGAAAAGTATTTCAGATAAATTATGCCTCAATGCCACACTTGTATTTACTGCCTCCTGTGAAAAACCAATTTAATTACTAACTCTAGTTAGTCATAGAGTGTTGTTTTCTAAAACATATTTCATTTTGGAAATGATGATGATTGTGGCTGAGAAAGGATGGGTCTTTGACTTCATTCAAGCTTTTCCAGCTAAAAAAGGGACAGATAGGCTGGCATAGGATTTGCCACTGCCAAAGCCATTCCAAGACCCTTGTAAGTCTTTTAATACAATGAAAACAACATACACAGTGCACAAGCCCCATATTCTATCTGGCTACACATAAACAATAAAGAAAACTTTTATTTCCGTAATTAAACATTTAAAAATGGGCAACATATGAATAGAAGATTGGTTTTCTTTCTGAAAGATCTTGATGCCAAGCAGAGTGGGCACATGTATGTAATGTATACAGCTACTGCAGGCCTTAAGCAAGGGCACAGAAGCAGGCAAACAGCAGTGCCTGCCTCATTCACTTGTGGAATTGCTGGCTGGAGGAGTCTGAAAACATCCAGGTCCTGCTCACAGAATCTGCATGAATGAGTTGACTTGCTTCCCTCATCAGCCCTCTACTCTGACTAACATCACTGCCCTTTCATCATCAGAGATGGCAGGAGAAAGTGAGAAAACACCTTACCAGGAGCAGCTGAATGAAATATCAGTGCCATTCTTACCTTCCAGCTGGTACCAAGAGTACCCGTTGGTAATGCCTTCTGGGAAGGTTTGCCTGCTGTCACAGCCCGTCCCTTTGTACATGCTGGCATGGTTGGAAGAATAGGTTTTTGCCAGGTGAATAAAGACATCATCATCTGGAGATCTGCTATAGCCTTTCAAAGAGCCAGTAACTGCAGAGTAAAGACAGCCATTGTGCAACTCTCATTACTGGTAAAACACACAGTGTTGGCTTACATTCAGGATAAACATCTCCCAAAAGGCCATATTAGGCAGTGAATTTTGATGGAGTTTATAAAATTCTGCCCATCCCAGCTCAAAAGCTAGAGGAACTTTGCAGGAATCCTTACAAATTTTGCTTTGGTACAGCCAATGTTCCTAAACCCAGTCAGGTGTGGGAGAACAGAGTTTGCCAGCAGCTTACCTGGGTTACCATTATCAAAGGTGTAACTGGCAACCAGGGCACCCCCATGCAGGTTTGCTGAGAGAACAAACGTTTCGTTTTTGATCCAGTCCATTACTGCTTGAGTCTCTGGCTGAATGTTGGCCCTGTTGTCCTCAAAGGCATCAGGAAAATTTCTGTTCAGATCTTCTCCATTCCCGTTGTACCTTAGAAAGAGAGAAGACATTCCCATTACTGTTTTGCCTGTGGATGCTTCACATCACCAGCCTCCCACTTCTCCAGATCTGTGGTGTGCTAGTATTTTCAGGGAACAGGGAAGATGACCATTTTTTATTTCTCAAGCATTACAGTGGTGGAGTCCAGTTTGCTTTCTAGCAGCGCTGGTATTTTCATAGGCCACAATAAAACATTTCTAAATGGAAACAGAGAATATTTAACTTGCACACAGAATGCACACCTACTCATAACTGAATTAGAAAAACCAGAGCCAGATGAGAAGGACTTTGTCCTCTTCCTGTTATGTGTTTCTCCTGCTTGTATAGAGGCCCAAGGTAACTCTTGAATGGCCGTATCCCTTGGGCTGTTCTCACTCTCAACAGACAGAAAAAAATGGAGTCGAACACAGGATGCATTTATTCTCCCTGAACCTTAACGCCCAGCCTGTTCAAACACTCCCTTGCTTTTTCTCTCTGTTAGGACAGCACAGGAATGAAGAGGGTATTCACTGTTGACTGTGATAATTTTTGAGCTCAGTCTGTTAAACTCTGTCTATTTGACAGTGAGGGGATAAAAAATACCCGTCTCCGTACAAGTCCCGTCTATTTGCCGAGGAATACATTTTTTCTTAATAAAAAGGAGGGCCTACACTGGTCACCTAAAGAAAAACTTAACTACCTAAACTTTCTTTTCACTTGTTTCGGGTGTTGCCAAGGCCAGTGATCCAAGAGAACTTCCAGCTCGTGGGTTTGCTTTTTCTGCACATTCCAAATCTGTCCTTTGGGCGTTTATTCCCATTCTCTCACTGTCTCTTTCCCTCTTCTAGCTTGTTAAGCTTTTCATCCCCTTTTTGGTCTCTGCAATAGTCACACTAAAGAATGCAAAAGCAGCACAGGATGCAATGTCAAGTTATATTTTCCTCTGTGTAAGTTTTCTTCCCTACCATGACTATTAGCAAAGAACCTATTACAGCCAGCTCTGCTTGTGTAACTCCTCCTTCTTACTAAATCCACATCCAACATTATTTTTAAACACATGGCTAAAGTCCATTCAACAAGCTTAGACACACCTTTTCTCATTAAGAAGAGTTACAGAATTCTCCAATTGAAACAGATCCCCGTGGGTGGAATTTTCCTTCTTTTCTTGTAGCACTCTAAAGGTGCTACAGAATAGAGAATTGTGCTTGTATTCACAATCCGGGTCTCCTGCCTAAAAGGTGAGGTCATTACACCAATTCTGACCAATTTTTTTCTGGCTCCACCACATATAAACACCAGTCTGACTCAATCTTCCAGAAACTCTATGCCATAACAATGTGTCTTCAGAAGGGCACAGGCAAAAATTAGCCCTAGCACATCCTGTAGACTCTGCTCTCCACCAAGTGTGATTCAGTCTTCTGGCCAGCTGCAATTATTACTCCCCACCCATTTATTTTACCTCTCCCACCCTCCTAAGCCACCCTTACCTTCCTGGTGTGTAATAACAATCAGGCACTTTTGTAGCTTCAAATCCATCAGGATTCATGGTTGGCATGATATGAATCCGGGTATTATTGAGCAACCGGGTAATAACTGGGTCACGTCCATAGCTGGTCACCAGGAAATCTATCAAATGGAGCAGGATTTCTCTCCCAACAGTCTGTGTAAAGAAGCACAAAATTGACCTTAAGTCTGATATGGAAGAAGAAAATAAATAAATAAATATCCACTGCCTTAAACTTCCAGGTTTTTCTTATGGACTACGCAGACATATGAGCGCACACTGATCCACGTTACTTTGTTTTACGCTCTCCCCTAAATATATTTAAAGCAACTGAGTAGATTAAAGGAATCACTGGAGGGTTTTCACAAGGGTTTTAAACCCAGATCAACCAGACTTTTTTGTATAATGGGAAGCTGACTGTGTCAGAGACACTGCTTAAATCTTGCATGGATAAGGAACAGCTGTAACAAAAACTGAAGCTGCCTGATAAACATCATGTGGGCTTGGGAACACTCCTCTGCATTTTCTCAGTCCCACTGCAGGGTCCCAGCTCTGTGCTGTGGCCCCACACATGGGTGCCAGCACTGTGCGGCACCATCTGGCAGTGGAGCTTCACAAGGAAGGGAGGACAAGTCTGCCACGTCTTCCAGGATGCCACAGAGCAGGATTTTTTCTTGTTGATCCTCTTTTATGGAAGTCAATATTAATACAAGATCAAAGAGGCCACATAGATACTTCTGTTACATTGCTTTATTTTAATGTCTTGAGCATGTGCATTGGGGAAATCAAAAAAATCCTTAGAAAAGGACATGGCAGACATTTGGATACAGACTTTGGATCAAGGAGAGGTAGTTGCAGAGAAAAAGCTAAACATTTTTGTTCATATAAGTTTGTGTAAGTCATGAAAGCTGACATCTCCCTTTAGTCTATCAGATTTTAGGCAAAATAGTGTCGAGAGTTAAGGACAATTCTATTGCATCCCAGAAACCACTGCTAGTGTTCATTGAACCTTGCTTTCCAGTGGCACTTTCCACAGCACTGTGACCCATTCCTCAAGGGTGCTTTAGGGTTCCTAAACCCTGTCTGGAAAGGGAACAAACCAAGACTTGCAAGTAGATGAGTTCTAGAGATAACTTATCTCTACTTTATCTCCGAGAACAAAGCCTGGTGTATCACAACAGGATCTAAACCAGCACCTGAGTATGTGAAAACAGACTGCTCTGCAGGTTTGATAAATACACTCTGTGAAATCCAAGAAGGGATGCAACAGAACCTGTCTTGTACAGGCAGCTCTTGAAAAGGGTGATAGACATCTTGGGAACATTATAAGGGTGGGGAAGGAAAGGAGAGGAGAGGACAGGAGAGGAGAGAAATCAGCCAACTCATGGCCCTGGGCATGAGAGATGAAGTTACCAGACTCAGAATCAGCATGAACAGCTCTACCACAGAGACAAGACTGGACTGCTGCCTGGGAACCTGGCAAAGTGCTCTTCTCCTGCTGTACTGCTCTCCAGTGCCTGACCAAAATAAGTCCCAAAAAGAAAGGGTAAAGAAGCAGGAGCAGAAAGGGGAGAAAAGAAAAGGAACAAAAGAATGTGGAGGAAAAGAACAATGTTTACAAAGAATGAAAGCTGACCAGATTTTCACAGATTATATTATTTGCAATTAAAAGTTAATCCCAGATTTACTTACATGTACAGTGTTTTACAAACTATTTTATAGGATTCCTGGTATAGCTGTAGTTGTACTCAGGACACTAGGCAGTTCAGATTATCATAAAAGTGCTGGCACTTGGGCAATTACACTGTGAGAGAAGAATATACTTATTACCACTGTTTTGGTGTGGTATCAGAGGGGTGGTTTTGTTTTGGTCCAGAGCACCCTGCATTGCTTGGGAAAGCACATCTGGAAGCATCTGAGGGGAAATTTTTGTTTCTGGGAAAGTCCAAGTTCAAGGTCAAGTTTTGATCAGCCCTTGGAAAGCATCTGCTGCTCAGGCCAGCTTTATCCTGTTGCTACAGAGGTCAGGAGTGTCTCTGGATAAGTTATGAGTCACTTTTATTTTAGAGCTGCAAATAAAGGATCTAGACACACTCAAGGCAGGCTGCTGACAGTAACCTTACTGGACAGACACCTTTACCAGCCTCAGGTTTAATATGAAGAAAGAGAGAAGAGCAGGGGACAGCATGAATGTGTTCTGGGCTTTCAGAGGACGTGGACATTCAGCTTTGATGCAGTGTCCCAGGGGAGATGAGACGCCAAAGAAGATTGTGCTACTGTGTTTCACAGGATGGGTGACAGAAGAGCAAAGGAAATCCCTTTCTCCCACCTCAGGGATACAATTAGACATTGAGTTTCTCTGTGCACTTTCAGCTGTCAGCTTCCTCCTGTGCCCCAAAGGGAGAAAGTCAGCAGGAAAGGCTTCCAGTGATCCTCAGAGAAGCCTGGAATGAAGAAGCATGCGTGTGTCAGGACATGGATCAATGCTGCAGAAAAGGGTGCAACTGCTGCTTCTGCACACAAATCCTTTATCCTGTGTCAGCACCCTGCTCAGTGCCACAGGATTACTCAAGAGGCCTGAGCAGCAGCCAGTCAGGAGATTAAGGTGAGGTGCAATTGCACCTGTGCTGTAACACTTGACTGCAGCAGCCCTGGGTTTAGAGCAGTGCTCTTACCACATGACAGAGACCTAATACCAGGGGACTATGGGTGGATGGACTCTGCCCATTTTTATTATTAAAATTCTTTCCTTAAACATGGCCTGGTTTTTAAGCTGAACGATGTTGAAAGAAAGATGCAAGCAGTCAGGAAGGACCTGTTCCAGGGCAGCACAGCCTTGCCTGGCTCCCTGCTCCAGCCCTGGCTGCTCCACAGGCCAGGCTCAGCATACCAGGCACAAAACTCCACCTAAGGAAGCTCTGTGTGAGCAGCAGGCCAGCCTGGCTTCCCACTGAAATGCTACACTTGCAGGATGTTATTTATTTTTAACACTTGTACTGCATTAATTATCACGCACTGCTGGGACACACCCCACTGGGGCTGCCCTTCTTGGCTAAAACACACAGCTGGCTTGTGCCAAGTTTGGCACACATCCCTTCATTTCTGCAGCAGCAATCTCTATGGCCATCTGAGAAACACCACATGTGTGACAGGAATGCAGCTCTCTGGTTTATCACTGAAGGAAACGCTTCTGAACCAGTAACTGGCACAAGTTGCTACCACCTGGACAAACTCCACCAGCTTCAGGATCTGCCTGGCTGAGACATGGGCAGCTTCTTCTTTTCCCACTCAGAAGAATGTGAAGAAAGATAAGGAAGAAGTAACTGCAGTGAGGCAGTGTTAAAATGTGCTGAAACAGACCTCAGCAACATCCAGCTTTTTTCAAAGTCTGTTGTTAGCATTGAGATTTGATTGATTTGAATTTTTAAATTTCTGGTCCTTCTGATCTTTTTTCACATCACATCAGCTAATACTGAAGCTAGGTGGAAAACAGTTTACTATACAATAAATGCTTTTATAAATAGTGGGGTTTTTCCTAGAGCAAATGCTCTTTCCCTGCATATCACTTCAATAACATATCACACAGGACTGGGACACAGGAATATGGACTTAAGATTCCTCACAGCAGTATATGCAAGTATTCTATAAGTTGTGCAGTACATGCAGTATTCTTTTTGTGCAATGATTTTTTCTTATCAGATGACAAAAAACCAGCCTTTTTTTGAACAGTGGTATTTTGATAGTATAAACGCAGCTTCCATTAATTTTTTAGAAATAAGTGTAAGAAATTCTGCACAAGCCTCATTAGCTTATTGTTTGGTGATTTTTTAAGACTCCATTATATTTCATATTAATCACAAATAAATCTACTCCAGCCCTTAATCACTTAAGCTCTAATATTTCAGGAAACCCTACGGTGGATATGACTGTGCCTATGATGATATGGAAAATAGGGTAGAGTGGCTTTAACTTATTTCACAAGATAAGGCAGCAGATAAACATATCCTTTCACATAGGCTAGTCCAGACCTATCAGTATAGGCTCAGTTTCACACAGTGAAAGAGCAAAAATACTACTATTTTTAATAATATTTTATACTACAATATTATTATATTACCTATACAAGTAATTTATTTATATTCTTATAAATAAACGATTGTTTATTATTGTGTTATTTAATGTTATTTGCATTGTTGCTATTTTATATGCTGAGTAAATAAAGTGATAAGAAGTGGACACTTTAAAAGAAAAGGACTGATATCAGCAGTGCCACCCTGAAAAAGTTTATCTTGTGATGGCTCAGTTACACTACAGCTGCAGAAAGCTAAAGCCATATATCAGCACATGAAAGGGGGAGAGCAGAAGCACACAGGAAGTTTACAGCTTGTTCAGATGTGCTTTTCCTTAAGGGATTTCCCTGCAGTGATATACATGGCTCAGGAAGAGCCTTCCAGCCAGATCGTGTTTGTATAGAACGCACTCCAGTCACGGCACAGAGGGTCCAAATGGTTTTGCTCCATTTGTGACTTAGGAGCATCTGGGGGTTTGGTTGTGGTTGGTGTTAAGCAGGAGGAGTTCCTCCCCAGGGAGGGGTGTGTGACTTGGAAAGAGAAGGTCTTTCAGGAAAGAGCACAAGACTGGGACAAGAGAGGCTCCTGTCTAATTGACAATGGGAGCTGCCCCAGAAGATCAGGCAACCTCTCCCTCACCTTTCCCCTGCAGACTTCAACAACATTTCACAGGCTTATGCATTTTGTGCAGTCAGTTACCACTGTCTTGATTAAAGTTAGCTTAAATCAGTTTTCATTTGGCTCAGGTTAAACAAAAAGTACTGCTAAAAATGGTGCCCAGCTTCATGCAGGCAACATAAAGAATGGGAGAAGTTTTTTGTTGCCTCTCAGTGGATCCGGGGCAAAAGTTCACTCCATCTGGCAACAGTGAACACAAAATTACAATCTTTTAAATCTTGGCTGGTTATGTCTTAGAGTATCAAGAAAAATAAACTTACTTAAAAAAATAAATCTTTTCAGTTCTGAAAAACATACTCCTCTCATGGTGTTACATACTCAGATTACTTTATTAGAACTTCCCTATTGGGCAGCTTTCCAAATAACCTAGATTTTCTTCCAGCAGCACGTGTGAACAGCCCACACACATGTAATTCAGGTTCCACCCCAACTTTTATGTGTTTGGAGCAGTGGGCCAGCTGAGTCAAAGTTAAGTGTCATATGCATGATCATAACAGGCTGGAAGGGCAGCTTCACCAAACAACACTTGAGATCAGAACTTCTCATTTTTTATCTTTTGTGGAAAACGTCACTGAAGCACAAAAGGCCTGACTGGATCAATGAAGCCATAATCTCACAATTTCAATTTATGAAAGACTCTGGCACACAAGTTGAAGCTTGCTGTATAATTAGTGCAACACTTATTTGCCTAATACATTGTAGGGGTAGTTTAATCTATCCCCAGAGACTAGTCCAGCAGAATCTTAGATTATGGGGGAAAAAATATACAAGTTATCCAATGCTTCTCTATATGAGGAATTCATTTCCTGCCGTCTGAAACACATTTATGATCAGATTTAAAAAAGCCCCAAACACCAACTGTGTTTGTATGTTTATTTGTTTCACCTGTATGTACCCAAAAACCACATATAGCAAAAATCATCATGAGGGTCTGAAAAGGAGGAATAGCTCTATTTCTGGAATGTTCACTAGGTGTGAGCTTGGTCTGACAAACAACTGGAATGTTGGACACCTTAGCCAGGCAGCTCAAGGATCAACCCTGCTCACACCATCTGGTGCTGTGTCTGACTTTAAAAGAAAATCTAGTCTAATTTCCTCATGAAGTCAATAAAAAACTCAGATCCTAGGCAGTGATCTGAGTTGCCAATCCCCAGCAATTCCCAGCCCTGCGGATGTGCAAACAATGTGTGTTTCTATGGCCAAAGCTCCTTATGCACATCCAGCTGGGCAGTGATAATGACAGGGGTGCTTCCTTGTGGGGACTTCAGTACGTGTGGCCTTTTGCAGTCCAGCAATATTGGATTTGCAAGCCAGCCCATCCTGGATGAGATCATATCCTGCCCTCCAGCTCCTCCCCACCAAAGCAGGGTGATTTGCAGTCAGAGGTTTGCCATCCCCTCCAGCAGCTGCAGGGACCATGGGATGGAGCCTCAGCTCCCGGATACCTTGGTGAGCACGCCAGGTGTGCTCCGGGAGCTGCAAACCCTACACATGTACCCACCTGACACCACGAATCAGCTCCTCCCACACAGAGTTAAATTCCCAAGCTGTCAAACTCCCAGCAGCACTTTGAGCAAGGCCAGTGCTGAACAAGGTGAAACTAGTCTGACTTGGGGAAAATTCTTGGCACATAATGTCACAAGTGCCCGTAGGCGTGCAAGTGCTCACACACAGCAATAACTCCTGACACGTTACCCTTTGCACAGGATACACCTTCTACTACATCCACCTTTCTTAGTTTTGGCAATTCACAGTCTAGCACATATGTATACATATGTACCTTGCTACTCCTGTTAAATTATTTAACCTTCACATGAAAGGCTGCATAAAAACATATTGTGCGGTTTAAACTTATCCTGCAGATGACTAATACAATCAGGTAAAGGCAAAGAATAAAAGAAATATAAAGCAAAAAAGTACTAGAGAGAACAGTAAAGCTTTGATTCTTTCTGATTCAGATTCAAGTAGTGTACCAGGTAGGCTCACAATCATAATTTCTCCTTGATCATTAATAAGTGGGGATTCTTCCCAGAGCAAGTCTATTGTTCTGGCATTGCTTTTTCTTTTGTACTCTGTGTTATCTCAGGTGAATCTAGCTGTTCCTAGCTTAAGGTTTCCAAGATAAATTTTCTTCCTACAATAAATAATTTGATGCTTCACAGCAATTATTGTTTAATCTTAGGATGTATTTGAAGAGTTCTATCAGTCATATTTCATGCCTAGGCAATAACAATGTACAAGCAAACTATTGCATCTGACTCATTGCTGGGAAACTTAAAGCCTCTGGGTTTACTCAGGTGGAAAAGACAAAGCTCTCTACTTAAGAGAGGTCTTGAGTGTAGGATTGTTGGACTCTGCACCATGATGTAAGGTCTCCTAAGGCCCTTCCACCAAAACAAGGGAACTTTATTCTGAGAATTCCTCAATAAATACACACATATTTTGTCTTCCTTGAGTTATGAAATATCTCAATAATAAAAAGAACATGCCTGAGAGAAGCTCGCTCTGAACCTCTGGTACAGTGTATTTGGTATAAATGACATTGCAAAAATTGAAACGTACCTCATCCCCATGCATATTAGCAACATACTTGAACTCTGGAATGCCAATCTTATGATGGGTTGGAAACCTTCCCAGAACAAGAACCCACAGGTCTCTACCTTTAGGAGGGGAAAAGACATTTTTCAAAACATGTGTAAAATTATACAAGCCTTAGAAGAATAAAAAGAATTGGTCATTAAGACCATTGTACAAATCCTCGTATTTCATTGGTGCCCACTCAGTCCTATATGTAACATATCATAGTAGACTGTGGGGTTCTTTTATTCTATGAATATTTGCAATATTAGTTATAGGAATAAATATGTTTCGTCTTCTGCCCAAGTACATAATAAACCCTGCAATTTCTAAAGCATTTAACCAGGACTAGAAAAGAAGTCTCTTTTTTTTGTAAAAAACAATTTTCAAATTAAATTTAGCAAATAACACCACTCTTCCCCCCCCCCCAATTTTAAATCATAAGGCTTTTTTGAAATATATACAGAAATTTTCATTATCACAAAGAAAGAACATCTGGTTTTGTACTGAAGACAACACAAAAAAGCTAAACATATTCATGCATTACTACTCAGAAAACAGGAGGTACCAGAAAGAGCAGTATCAGAGACACATTTCAAATATATCAGCAGGGAAAGAATTAATGGCTACAGAAAGAGTATTAGTTAGGACCACTAAAGCTGCACAAGAAGCTGAACTTTAAGCACCAAAATAAACATGCATACATTTTGGAAGTCCACATTTAAGCAGGGGGAAAGGGAGAGGAGAGGAAATTTTTTGTTACTATTTTTAGTGATACTGTGGCATTTCAGACCTCATCTGCAAACCTGTGCTTCCCACTAGTCTGCTCAGTGAGGTGGAAAACTCAAGTTTCAGCAGATGGCAGCAATGAAACTGGACCAGTGACTTGATAATAGCAGTGACAGGCTAAAGATGGCCAATGCCCAGGCCCTGCAGGGCGGCAGCTGCCCCAGCTCCACACAGGTCCTGTTGGGACCCACAGCCTGCCTGAGAGGAGCCCAGCCACCACAGACAGAACACAGGAACTGCTACATGCAGTGCTATAAAAAGCCCTATTTCTCAAAGCTTGGTGGGTCATCAAATCTGCACTGAAAACAAACTCTGGAAGGTATCAGCTTCCCATTCCCAAAGGCACGACCACTGTAGTCACGCACATGCCACAGCATTTTTGTTTTCTTTTCCAGCTGTGCAACTGGCTCACAGCAGCTCTACCACAAGGGTCATGGCTTTGGGAATGGGAGAAAAACTTGAAGTGGACAAAGCACCACTGGATGATGCACTTAAACTGTTGTAAGAGAGGCAAAACTGAAGACAGTGGTTGCCAAACTAAATTCTCAGTTAACAGAATCAGAGTCTTAGCACCAAGAAGCAGCAAGACAGTGCTGAGAGATTCAACCAAGAGTGATCTCAGTATCCCCTGGTTTCACAGCTGCTCTTGAAGACATTGGTGTTCAACCCCTGTAACCACGCCATGCACAAAGCTGTGAGATGATGCTACTGACTCTTTCATTAAAGGACAATGTGAGCAAGAAATCATACTTTTAAAAATAATTTTGTGGCAACTTATTTGGTAAGAAAGAAAGCTAGTTATTTGGCCTTGTTGTATGTACAGCCACTGTCTCATAAAAAAAGAAAAAGTTTGATTTCTGTAAGCCTAGACAAGTTGCAGAGTGGAGAACCCAAAGACACTAACTTTTAGTCACATTATTCTTCAAAAAGGAAAGAGAACATACAAATCCTCTCACCCTAGCCCTTCTCCCTTCCAAAACCTCCAGAGCCCCTCTAATCTCAACCATCCTGCAGTTCTGCAAAAACAGATGACAAATCTTGCTGCAGTAGCACATGTTTGGAACTGAAAACAATCCTGGTAGTGAAAAAACTGTTATTCATAATCAAGTGTGGACAACAACCTCAATTTTCCAATTCTGCAATGTGTCATTCTCTCTATAGCTGTATATGGGGCAACTTGCAATGAATTACCAAGGAGTCCTTCCAGAATGCTCCTATAATTCTTTGTCCTTATGCCCTCCAAGGCCTGCTTCCCAGCTCCCATTCCCTCTTTTGGAAGGCAAGTTCAGACATCCCTCCTTGGTGCCAGCTGCCACGTGGGCTTCTGCAGCAGGAGGAGACACCTGCTCCCAGCAGTGACTGCAGCCCTTCTGCCACAGCCCAGCCCAAAGGCGGCTGCTGCAAACCTGCAACATGCAGCTCATCACACACACTCAAGCAAAGAGCCCACGCAGAGATAAAGTGCTCTAGAGGTTTCCATCATTTAAGATTTTCTACAAATAATAGCGTATTCTGATATCAAACTAAAATATAGTACTTCCAGTGTCTTGCCATCAGCAGTACTTGTTCCTGCTGCTCTCACTGTGGATTGCACTCATGGGAAACACAAGGAAGAGCTAAGTATAGACTAACATTAAGTACTGATGTAAATTGGTGTTCAGACTGTTTAGAGTTTGTGTGAGGGCCATCTACACGATAAACACTCCCATGAACTGAGATACCAATTATTTCCTGGCATTTCCAGCTTGTAAGAAGTACTAAACCTTCCATTAACAATTAAAATACATTCCTGGGTCTGCTCAGCCTGCAGTACTGGATAGTGTATCTGGGAGGGATGATGTAAGATTTCTTTCCATACGGCTGTAATTAACTGCATGTAAAAAGATTCAGCATATGGATGGTTTCCTTTAATCAGCAAAGCTTAGATAACTCTGGTTTGGTACCTGAAGGGAACAGCTAAGCTTCCTCTTGTGCTTTGAAAAGCCATTTCTCACTGCCAAATTGCCAAACCAAAGCTGACGTCAACTAATTAGTGAACTATATTTCAAGTGATGAAGACAAACGTGTGTTTCTAACTGTGTAGCTCAGGACAAGTAACAAGACTTGTATTGGAGCAGAGCCAGATCACACAGCTTCTAGTAGACTGAGAAGCCTTTTTAATTTTTAAAAAAGTTTTCTAGCATTGCCACTAGTTCACAACGTAGTGTCATATTCTACAGATGTACAAAACCTGGTAATTAAAATGAAGAATTGAAACTGATCTCCAGATCTACTGGGAAAGAAATCAAATCAATGTGTTGACGTTAGAATCTGGATTGTGCTCCCTGTTTTTGTTCTGAATTTTATTTTTGCTTTCTTCACTTTGTTCTTTACAGTTTCATTTATGAAAAACTCATAATTTCAAAGAAAGTTATGGCTAGGAAATGAAGTGAAATGACTGGGGAATGGCTCAGACCCGCTGTCAGTAGCAGTCAGGCTAGAGTACTGATTCAAGAGTTTGCAGGGAGGACCACTTTGACCAAGAAAAAGCAATAGACTGACTGCAGTCCTCCTGGGCTGGCACACTGGCTTCATGGGCAGGAATTGCTGTAATGCTGCTCTGTGTTGAGGCAGCCCCCACCTAGAAAAGCGCAGGACAACGAGGAGGGGAAGAGAGATTAACTCTCACTAGAATGCAAGGTCCCAGAGGAATTAAATCATAGAATCAATCTCAGAATCATTGAACAGCCCAGGTTAGAAGGAAGAGATCATCTGGGCCAACCCTACATGGGAAAGGAAACCTAGATAAGATTATTTAGCACTCTGTTCAATTGCATGTTAAAAACCTCCAGTGGGGAGGACTCTACCTCATTTCTGGGGAAGTCATTCCAGTGAATGATTCTCACTGTACAAAATTTTCTTCTGTTGAGATGAAATCTCTCATAGTGCAACTTGTGCCCTTTGCTTCTTTCCACATGGCTCCTTGAGAAGAGAGAGGAGCCATCCTCTTTATAGCCACCCTTCAAGTGCTAGAATTCTGTGACAAGATTCCACCCTAAGCATTCTCTTCTCTAGGCAGATGAGCCTCCCCAGGGCAACATTGTTTTCCAGCAAAACACTGCCACAGCTAATGAAGGACTTCAGGAGTAATTCCTTTTGCTAAACCACCATCATCAGCACCCTTGCCCTCAAGGCACTCTGATTTGTCATTACCAATTCAAGCTGGAAAATCTAATGCCATTTGGGAACTTTTCTTCTGCAAGGGGACTGCCCAAAACCACACATGGCTTGATTCAGATTCTAAGAGAATCTGAATAATATACAAATACATTACTTGTATAACCAGAAATGGTTAATCAGAATGACTGATGTAGCAGTATTGCCTTACAAATATGAACAAATATGTGATTTTAATCTAGCCAGACTGAGTAAAACACTGCCAAAATAAGCTACATACCTGAAGTTGAAATCAGACAAACATCTGTAAGAACAACTGAACATCAAATTCTTTTGTGAGCATTTTTCTTTACTTTCAGGTATACTAAGACAAAATGGATTAGCTAAAGACTTGGCCTGTAGTAGCACTGGCATTAGTAATGAACAAAGTTGATATGCCAAGAAGAGCTAGAACACTTCAAATACAAGAAAGCCTTCAAGTTATTTTAAAGAATAAAGACATACAGATCAATCACATGCATCAAACAGGTATGTTTGGCAGTATTCAGCATGGTGCTTAGTAAGCAGAAAAAAAGCCAAAAGCACCCAAGGTAACCTTTGGCTACAGGTTTATTATTTGTCACTGGCTACAGCCACTGACAGCCATTGAGTCACTATGTGGGGGCCACTGCTAAACTTAATACTTCTGACCTCTTCCACAGACCCCTTGTTACAGACTTAAGGCACTCTCTCTTGGCAAAAAGTAAATAGAAATACCAATTTCCCACTGTTTAATCAGCTCCTATCTACTCCAAGAGATTACACCCGTCACTCTAATTTAGAGTCAGCACCATATAAACAGCACTGAAGGAATAAACATGACAAGGAATAAAAATGACTCTAAAAAACACTAGATACTGCTTATTGGTATCCAAAGCACTTGAGAAGGGAAGGGAGTCAAAACAATTCATGGTTCACATGCTTGCTTATCTTCCTAAACGTTTAACTAAATCTGTGGTTGATTGGGATCCATAGCTGCTTTGGACACTTTCACAAGACTTGGATCTTATGAGAACAGCAACCCTTTCTTTCCTATGTACATGTGAGTCATCACTACCATTTCCAGTTCTCGTAATCAAGTTGAACACACTCTTTATAC